AATCACTTGATCCTCTGTTTCCCAATGTGTGGTAGGACTGGCGTTGCTCCTTCCATAGACAAGATGCAATAAACATAATAAAAAGAATTTTGGAAGGAATACAGTTTTGATAGGATGTGTGTCTATGAGATTAAATTATACTTATGAGTTAGATCTACTATGGGTTTGTGGTTTGTTTGTTGTTGTTTTTGTTTTTTCGTTTTTTTTTAAACAAAGAAAGATGTAACTATATCAGTGCTTTTGTTCTTCCAAAATTGAACCAGTTGTCTTCGGGTTGTTGGTGGGTGCTGTGGTAGGGTTTGCGCTTTCTTTCTTATCAAACAGTTATCGTTCTTGTTTCTTCTCCTTCTTTTCTTTATACATTGCTCTCCAGTAAAATCTTTAATCCACGGCACTTCTTATATGACCTATTTGTGTTACAAGTGATCTAAAACTGGTACTTAAAACAAAAATAAAGACTAATAAAGATCCAGTTGCTTTTCGTGCAACAGTTAGCAGTTAGATTACCGTCACGCGCAGACGATGTGAGTTCGATTACTTTGTGAGGAAGTCATTTATTTTTTATTATTTCCATCTTTTTACTTGAATAACAGGGGCCTGACAACATAATCTACGTTTAGTTTTAGTTTTTGTAAACGTTTTACGACATTTGGACCCCCATTGGGTCATATTTGAGTATTGAAGTTTGGAGATGTTATTTAAGAGTGACGTGCTAAAAAAAGAAAGAGGAAAGATATTGAGGATAGATGTTTGACAGGAGAGAAGGAACAAATCACACCAGAGCGCCCGCCAACCACCCATACAACATTAATTACAATCTTTTCGACTGTTGTTCTGAATTTCCCTCCCTGGCCCGATCATGCAGATCTGACTAGTTGAATGGAAGTGCACGACGCATAAGTCTGGCAGCAGATAAAGCACGCACGGACATCTTGTTTGTGTCGTCGCACAGGGGACACTGGGATTGTTGGAGCAGATTGTTAAGCCCCTTGTTGTAGAACCGCCCTTGTTGTTGTGGGGTTATCCGCCCTTGGCAACATTACGTTCGTATTGCGCATTGATTTATTGTATTCCTAGATCGCGCAGTGTCATGGCAACCTCTTTGGGTTTCGTTGTTTTTTTTCTTTGTTTTTTTTTGTTTTTGTTTTTGTTTTGTTTTTTTGGGGGGGTTGCAGTGTTCTACGACGCTCGCAACTGCATGAGGTCATGTGAACACACGGGACACATTAAACAGTTTTGGTAGGGTAGGAATTAATTTTGAATTGTGCCCGGGTGGCGGCCGAAGCATACTCTTATCCATGGTCGCCTCTCTTCAAAGTTTCAAAAAAGGAGGTAGAGTAGCGTCTTTGAGAATATACAAATTTCGCCGTGAGGCATTCACACCTTAAACCACGCTATTACATCCAAATAAAAGGCAAAATTGTTTCATTTTAAGGGAAATAATCCATGTTCTGCAAAAACTGTTGTTATTTTGCATCACTATCCAAGTCGTAGCACAAGTCTCGCCGTAGTCCAATGCAAGCTGCATTGTGTTCCCTTTGTCGTACGTTTAGCTATTATGGCGCGTCCCATAGGGATCTGGAAATACGAGACGTCAGTGTTCGCGATCTAGGCTAGTCTGACGTTATGGTACAAATCTATGGTAGTGTGAAGCTAATGGTCTGTTATAGTTATCGCCTTTGGCTTTGTACTTGTTGAACCTTAAACTTTAAAACGCTTGGGGTGATGCCATTTTTTGTGGGAGTGTTGTTTTTTTAGTTTTTGTTTTTTTGTTTGTTTATTAGCTGTTTTGTCTTGTTGTTTTGGGTTGTTGTTATTGTTTTGTTTTTGTTTTATTTAGTTTTATTTTGTTTTAAGGTTTTTTGTGAACGTTTTAGAGTCCCACCAACGCGGAGCCGATTTTTTAAAAATAGTTGGTCCTTTATAAAAGCATCTTCTAATAGTATTTAAAAAAACAAGACTGAACTAGCGCAAGAAGCGCAAAGAGCATAAAAAGAAACCAAAGAATCATATTTGGAAACTGTAAAATGTGAGAAATTCGGGCTTTTGCAAAAGAAATAAAATTATTACTGGTTACATAGTACGTGTCTCTTAGACTATACTTTAATATTGTTTTTAAAGTTTAAAGGCTTGATCCAGGTTGAACATTATTACATTTGTTCGTCCCTCCTCTAAGCTACATATTATATATATAT